AGACAGACAGACAGACAGACAGACAGACAGACAGACAGACAGACAGACAGACAGAGGGAGAGACAGAGAGATAAAGACACACAGAGAGAGCTGTGTTTGTGTTCGTATTTGTGTGTGTGTGTGTGTGTGTGTGTTTGAGTGTGTGAGTATGTGTGTGTGTGTGTGTGCGTGTTTGTGTATGAATGTGTGTGTTTTCAGCTCAAGAGATAGACAGATAGAGATGAACGTAGATAAAGTGAGCTAAAAGAAAACAAACATAAAACTGTGATCCTCCTAAAAAGTAACATGTGAATGGTTGATTGTTCACATCAAATAATTCTAAATAATACGGCACGTTAAGTACATAGGAGAGACTACAAAATCATGAAGAAAGGCAATGTCTAAATTGTGCGACATGACCAAAGAAATAATGTCAGTAGTATGTATCATAGAAACAACACCAATCGGAAAGCAACTAAAGCAACAGTCTGTAAACAGTAAAAATCATCTACTAATCTAGACACACCCATGCAGCAAAATGAAATGTTCTGAATTATTTTGTATGTTAGCTTAGTTTTATGGCACTTGCAACACAATAAGGTTATATAAGTGCCAAAGGATAGATGTGTTACAAGAGAGTAACATACACAAAAATGAAGGAGAGGTAAGGATGATAGATGTTTGATAGGAAAGAAGGGGCAAACCACACCAGAGCACCCACCATTCATTCACTAACTTAGTTTACTTCCTTTGATTAGAAAGGTCCGTGCGCACCCCAGCGACTGCGGCGAAGCGGTTAGGCTCTTTCCTAACACACGCAGAAGATTTGTGTTCGATTCTCGTATGAAGAACATTTGTATTTAGTAACTCATTTTCTTTTTCCGCTGGGATGTTGTATCCGCCTCTGCCCGGGTTGGCTCTGACTGGCGGGTTCAAAGCATACTGAATGATATTAACTGTGTCGTTGGAGGTGTAAAACGTATGCTGTTACTTTTTAAATAATGGCCCCTCTTGGTCTCTCCAGTTCTAAAGTGGGGTGGGAAGGAGCTAGGGTGTAAACAAAAAAAATTGTTTTTTCTCCTTCCAGATGAGGACTTTTGGAGGAGAAGGTGAGGAGGAAGCGTTGAAGCAAGAGGGACTAAATCATGCTCAAGGCAGCACGCGAAGTCAAGCTGATGGTAAATTGTCTATGGCAGTAGTAAGACTTACACAAAACTCTCTAAAGGACCTATGCAGTAGACTGGGGAAAGGTCACACACACACACACACACACACACACACACACACACACACACACACATATATACACACACACACACAAACACACTCACACAAACATTCACATACAAATAAACACACACACCTATAAACACACAACACAAATACACACACACAAAAATGGGTCAACACAACAACAGCATCTCTCACTCATGGTTCTACGCCGCTAATCCACAGATAGGAGACGCAAGGGCGGCCATTTTTCAGGTCAGCATCCCGGTCAAAAGTCCTTCTTTTCTTTGCCTGTCGTTGAGAATCGATCCGTAGAACGCGCGTGAATAGAACACCTTAGCAGTTCTCAGGTCCAGCCGATGCCACCATAAAACAACGTTCCCCGATTGTCTCCCTTCCGACACACTAACCAAGTTAGGGAAGCCAAAACTCCGTGGTTAGCGACACATCAATGTCCACTCCGCTGTCTTTATCAAATCGCCTTCGGCTGATGACACACCTAGGGCGAAGCTGATCGTTTCTGGATTATTGAACTCCTATCGGGAATGGCCAGTTCTCTGAGTATTCGACACACTTTCCCAAGTTCAAGTCTTCAGAGATTTATTGTGGAGACTATTATAGTTCCCCAAGCCCACAGTCAGAGCCAGGTAACTTTGTTACCTTGTACACCTGTAATGACAGAACACAGCACGGTGCCAAATGACAGCTTGTAAAAACTATCTATCTATCTATCTATCTATCTATCTATCTATCTATCTATCTATCTATCTATCTATCTATCTATCTATCTATCTATCTATCTATCTATCTTCCACGCTTGCCCACGCCCCATTTTCTCCGTTCCCACAATTCTCTTAAAGTCACTTGGCCTCACTCCTCGAGACAGGCTAGCGAGATAAGATCTCTCGATCCCCAGGTCAGAATTTACGTTGGCGCCAATTGCTGAGGGACGTCTCTGAGGGCGCCAAGGGTTTCTCCGATGCTATTTTAAGAAAATAGAGCTAGGACCATTTTGTTCAGAGCGCTGATTGACTATAGGTGATCCGTCAAGAAGAGCGTTATACTTGATACATATATCTATAAATAGCAAAAGATGGTATGTCCTGATTGGTGTACTCAA